GTGTGTGTGTGTGTGTGCACATAGCCTACTTGTGAGAATCCTGGCATCGCCATGCTGTATGGTCTCTGTCGGCTGTGTGGTGTGCTCTGCTGCTGGGTGAGGAAGCGTGTGGGCATGCCGTAATCAGGTGTTGGCAAAACCATGTCTCTCTCCAGAAGATTTCCTGTGCTGCTGCTCCTGCTATGCTGCAAACTACAAAAACACATATACACACCATTAAAGTCAACTTGATGTTTGCTGCTCATTTTATTTCTCTAACGTGGCATTTCTGAAAAATGTAGTCCAGGACTTTATTTTATCCCTAAAATAAATGGAATGATTGGATCAAGAAAGTGGGCATTGTATAGTAGAATGGAGCCAAACGTAATGCACAATTGTTAAAATAATGCCTAAATAGCTAATTATGCATTATGACAACGGCTAACATTATCCAAGTCACACCAGTAAAAATGAAAATCGTGTCAGAGAAAGAGCAAGACGCTATATTTTCAATTAAAGGTTACAAAGATATTTTTTCTTTGGAATAACATGCACCAATGAATCAATCACAACAAGACTATGAATGCGCACGAACAAAGTAAACAAGGTCAGTTTTGATTGGTCATGTCAACGTTAACGTTTTTTATGCACACGCATCAAGCCTTTCTCAATTGTATGCTTTATGGTGTTACACAGCTCATGATTTAAACATTCATGGTATTTAAACATTGAAAGGGCTTTTGTAAAACTCATTAATATTCAGACAGACTCACCTAACATGGAGTTTATTGCTGTCTGGTTCAGGAATCATGCGGGTATAAGAGAACGGGAACCAGCCTCTCCTGAAAGGACACATACAACGTGGAATTTGAAGCAGATTCTCTGGTTCATCAAATCTCTTAAACTTATTTTCATAATTAAAAATCTTGTTTTTCTGTACACACCCTATGCATGAGTAAATTTTATTGTGAAATTAACCACAAGATACGTACATTCTGTTTTTCTCGTTTTCACCGTAGTGCCAGCCGTCCCGGGCTTCAGGCACTAACAGTGTGATGACGTCTCCTTCCGTAAAGCTGAGGAGTGTGCTGTTGTCCCCGGCGGCATGGGAGAAGA